GGAAATTAACTTAAATCATGGACTTAAAAATGTAATATAACATTTTTAGAAAAAAGTAGGAGAAAATCTTCAGAATCCAGGATAGGCAAAGAGTGCTCGGACTTGACACCTAAAGCATTATCCATAAAAGGAAACATGGATAATGTGGACCTCGTCAAAATTTTTAACTTTTGCTCTGCAAAAGCCCTCGTGACAAGGATGACAAGACAAGCGACAGATAGGGAGGAAATATTTACAAACCCCAGTGGAGCTTCATTATTTGCAGATTCTGTATTCTTTAATTTGCCTAGCACAGTAGTCCCCACTCATCTGAGGTTTCATTTTCTGTGGTTTCAGGCATCCACTCCCAGTGGTTTATCCTCTGCGGTTTATAGGCACTCAGTAATTTGTTGAATGAATGGGGGAGGAAGTAGGGGGGAAGGAAGGGTAGACCAGAACTCAGAAATCTTGCGTTTTCATCAACAGGATCCCTGCTATCATTGTTTTCCCAAACTTCTCACTTTGACAGATCTCTGATATAAAAGTTATTCAGAAACAATTTATTTTTTTCCACAAACTCTAATGTGACCAAATGGAATCAACCTCATTTGAAAAGAAACTGAAGATATTACGTCTAGTACATAGCCAGACATCTGCCCAAGATGCCCCAAATTTAGACACCAAATTTCCACATGGAAATTAAAAACACTGACAGCACCAAGTCCTGGCAAGGTGTGCTGTTAACAGGAGTGTCACTATGGGAGGATGAAGGCAGCGCCTCACACCTAGCTTTTTAGTACCTGTGGTCGCAGGTCCAACCCTAGACATTGACCTGAACCCGATGAAAGCCTGTGTCCACAAAGGTCTCTTTCCAGTGTGGAAATAAACGGAAACCACAGACGGAACAGCTATTTGCTCAGAGCTCATTACAACAATGGAGTTGGCCACTGTCACTTGCAAAAAGAGACCCTTGCTCTCCCAGTGGAGACAGGGAAGGCTCCAGGTGTGCCCTGAAGGGCTGTGGTCCCGGGAGCTGGCAGCTGACTGGAAATCGGCGTCCTGGATTGTATGTCACTGGAGGCTGACTCACAGAAGCCGGTTTCTCAGGTGGGCTGCTGGGGACCTGGGCTGGCTTCCTGGTCAGATGGCTGCGGGTTACAGTTCTATTTTTATAAATGGTCCATCCACAGTCCGTTGGTATGCTGAGAGCTACACTTGCAATGCCAAGTAAAGAACACAGTTGGCCATGTGCCACCCACAAAGGGGGACAGCACCCCACCTAGGCCTTCAGCTGACCAAGTCACCTAAAATGTGAGCAGTCAAGAGGAAATCATCTCACAAGACCTATCTGTTAAGACTTATAGCATGCATTAATTATCTAAAAAGAGAGAAAAGAACACAGGAAACCCACCTAACATCCATCAGTAGCCTAGCTGAGCCAACAGAGCAGTATCACTGGACATCACCAAAAACATTCATGATGACAACAGAGGGAAAAGCACTCGTGATATGGGGGGAAAACACAGGACACGAAACCGTGAACTATTATATATGGTATGATCTCAGCTATGCAGAGAAACAATGCATAGGACAATCCTGAAAGAAAGTGGGACAAACTATGTATTTTATTTATTTTTATTTTTAGCTGAGCCATCCTGCCACCTGTTGGCAGCTCAGCGGCAGCTCAGCTCGGGCCGGGCATCGAACTGCTGTTGCTCAGAGCTCACACTCTTGAGCAAGCTCTTAACCAACTGAGCCATTCGGCCGGCCCTCAAACTATGTATTTTATTTTATTTATTTATTTTTTAAGATTTTTATTGGGGAACTGGGGGAAGGGGAACAGACAAGTTGCTGTCGTTTTGTTCTTCAGTCTAGTTGTGGAGGACATTGCTTCACTGGCCCAAGTTGGCACCATCATTGCGCCCTTCCCGGGTAAGGCAGATCAGTCGCCGGCTTCTGGACGGCCGCTCACGGCGGCTGCTGGCCGCTCACGCTGGCTGCTGGCTACACACAGTAGCCCATGGCAATCCACTGCAGCAGGGGCTGCAGCCTATGCCGTCGCCAGCGACTCATGGCAGCCCAGCTCCAGGTTGAGCTGTTGTTCAGCATCTTAGCTGTAGAGGGCAGTGTCACTGGCCCTCATATGTGGGATCTCAACCGGGGCCCTCTGGTGTCCCAAGCCAGCTCTTAACCATCGTGCCACTCAGCCGGCCCAAAATGGCTCCTTCTTGAATGAGATTTGCTGGGCTATTTTTCTCTCAGCACATGGAAGACGTTATTCACTTTCCTTTTGTCTTTCACTATTGCTTTTGATAAATCAGATTTTTCTCTCTCTCTCTCTCTCTCTCTCTCTGCCTACATTTAAGATTGTCCCTGTCTTTCGAATCCTGCACTTTCACTAAGAAATGAGTAGGTAGAGCTTTTTATTTATACTGCTGGGGAAACGAGTTTCCTGAGTCTAAGAATGATGACGTCCATCAATTCTAGAAAGTTCTTAGCCATTATTTCTGTGAATATTGCCCCTGCCTATGTCCTTTCCTCTCTTCTGTAATACCACCTTAGATTACTGCATTATAGACCTTCTCTTTCTATCCATCTCTTCATCTCATTCGTATTTCCATCTCTGTACTCATTCTAGAATCATCTCTTCATTCTAGGGTCACTTCTTCAAATCAAAGTTTCCCAATTCTTCAGAAAATGTATCTCTGGACTTTTAAAAAATATTTTATTTCTAGAGATTCTAGTCTCTTGCTTCTTACTAATATTCAAATTCCTTTAAATATATTAAATATATATTTTTTTATACTACGTGCCTGGCTACTTCAATATCTGAAAATTTGTGGGTTTGATATTTTCTGCTGACCTTGTTTCTTTGAGGGTTAAACAAGTGTTTCTGGATTCTTTGGTTTTTTTAGCAATGAAGGCTTATTTACTCCTTAGAGCCTTCTCTACATAAGGCCTGAGTTAAATGTTGGTTTCCAAAGGTTTACACCTGCACTACCAAGCTCCTAGAAACACTACAACCCAGGGCTACTTTTTTTTTTTTAAACTATGACCACCTATTTCTCAGAGCTTCAGTTTTTATAAAACAAACTAAAGCAGATGTGAACACCAGCAAAGAGCCTTCTGGGCTCCTGCACCAGATCTCATGGATCAGGGTGTATGAAGTTGGAAGCAGATATGAAGACGGACCCAACTAGTACCGGGCAGCCAGTCCAGAACCCCTAGGGGCCGAGACTTCTGCAAGTTTCTGTGAAAGCTGATGTGGTTTGTCCATGAGTAGCAGCCTCCTTCTAAAAGCACGGAGGAAAACCATGGCAACACATATTTGGACCTGAACAAAATATTTTAAAGTTCCTGTTACGTTACCTGACAAACCCTGAAGCTGGTTATATAGGAAGCCCCTGTGCTAAGAAAGTCCCACGGCCTGCTTCCTTTCCCATTTACTCACGGCTCACGCTCCTGCCAGCAGCTCTCATGTGCTACAAACACCGCTGTCCGGTGAGAAGCCGGAGCATCTTCAACACGCAGCAGGAGCATGCTCACCCCACAGGGGCAGCCTGACCTGCAAGGCTGGCCTCCAGGCTCCAGTCCCACAGCCACAGAGGGAACTAGAATCCTGAGCTGGCTCAGCATCAGTGTCAAGACCAGCCACGGGGGCTGAAGCTGCCCCATTGCATATGCTCCTGATCGGTGACGCAGTTTCCTGTTAGCATCTCACCTCTATGTTAACCGATTTTCGGGGGGAAAAAAACATGCAAAGAAGGTACCAGAGGCAGAGCTGGGATAGTTGGCCGTTCTGGTCTTGGCCGGAGTGGGACGGTCACTGCAGCACCATCAGCACAGGGGCTCTTGAGTCCTTAATGTTGTGAGGACTATGTCATTCCTGTACAGAGGCTGACCTGCCTTAATTTTGTTTGCCCCAGGAGACGTGTCAGGACAGTACAAGCCTGCCTGAGCATCATGTCCTGGTATTGGGGGGCAGCATTGCCTGAGGGGGAGCCTTGCCTTGTGGAGCTGGCAGGGCCCACACCCCCATCTCCCTCACCTTCAACGCCCTAGTCCCTCTCTGAGCCTCCTCCCCCTCTAGGCCCCCTCCCCCTGGGCCCCCCCCCATCTCCTCCTGGGGCAACTCCAAGCTGCATTTGGCTACAGGTTCTTGCTGGGGTTCTGCCACCCTGCCTGGCACCAGGATGCCTCCTTCCGGGCGTGACCCTCCTCCTGGGGCTGCGGACCACAGCTCCCTCACTGTCCCAGATTCTTACCTCTTGTCAGCCCAGGAAACCCAGAAATTCTAAAATATTTTACCCGTTGTGCTCAGCTGTTCAAGGAAGAGGTTCTCAATGTATCTAGTCTGTCCAGAACCAAGTCCCAGAGCCTTCCACCAAAAATGAAACCAGGATTCCACATGGGCCACTTGTGGGTCAACCTTATTAATTTTTTTTTTAAGATTTTTTTTTTAATTGGGGAATTGGGGGGATGGGAACAGTGGTGGGGAATTGGGGGAAGGGGAACAGACAAGTTGCTGTCGTTTTGTTCTTCAGTCTAGTTGTGGAGGACGTTGCTTCACTGG